ACATCACTTACCCACAAGCGGACACCGATTTACTGGCATGGTGTGGTCCTGCTGTTGATGAAGTGGAAATAAAAGAAGCAATTTTTTATATGGGTCCCTAATCCCCTCAAATCACTAAGACCAAACAGGTTTAATGTTCTCTTTTTTCAACATCAATGGGATAGAGTCGGAAAGTCTATGGTGGAGTTTGATCAATTTATTTTTCAAAGTCCTCAAGCTATTGCAGGCATTAATGGTACGTTGATTGTACTGATTCCTACGAATAACCCATTGGAGCTAGTGAGAGACTTAAGACCTATTAGTTTGTGTAATGTTATTTATAAAATCATCACTAAAGTAATCTTCAAGAGGCTTAGAACATTCCTATCTCATTTTATCTCTCATAATTAATGTAGTTTTGTTTCCCAGAGACATGACTTAGACAATATTATTGTGGCTTAGAAAGTGATTTACTCTATGGGAAATATGAGAAGGAAAAAGGGCTTTATAGCTATCAAGATTGATCTTGAGAAATTGCATGATAGAGTGAATTGGAAACTTGCTAAACATTGCTTGCAGGAATTTAAACTCCCATCCGATGTGGTTCATATTATTTATGTAGTTATTTCTAGTATTAATATTCATATTTTTTGTAATGGTGCCAGAGAAGGCTTTCATCATTCAAGAGGAATTTAGCAAGGGGATCCTATGTCTCCTTATTTATTTGTTATTTGCATGGAGAAGCTAGCTCACATTATCTAATCTCACATGAATTTGGGATTGTGGAAGCCTATCTCACTAAAAAAAGGCCCCATATCTCTCTCTCTCTCTCTCTTTTTTTTTCCAGATGATATTATCATCTTTGCAGAGGCAAGTTTGTAGTAAGCTGAGTTTATTAAAAGTTTCTTATAGTCTTTTATCAGGCTTCAAGGCTCAAAGTTAACTTTACAAAGACCCTGATGCTTTTCTTGAATAATATCAACCACGACAGGTGTCCTAAAATAAGCTCTTATTTGGGCTTCACACGCGTAGCCAAACTAGGAAATAAACTCTTATTCAGTTAGGAAAAAAACATTAACTAGGGGCTGTTTTTCATTCCAACATAGATTAAGGCCTTCCAAAATGCTAGAAAGTTTAGTTGTTATTTGGTTGAAATTCAAGATATTTCAAAAAACTCTCTCGCCACATTCCTTGCATCGAATAAGATTTCACAAGAAGCAGCTCCGTTAAGATTAATTGAGAAATCCACATCCATTTCAACAAATCTTCTATGAGATGTGAACTATCTAGAATGTATATCTTGGTTGAAGTGACAAAACATTCATCTTTTACACGCCTGTAAGAAGCTCTATTGATATTGTTTATATATATATATATATATATATTTGCAAATAAAAGCAATATTTTTTTCGATAAAGCTATCTTTGAAATATATGAAGTTGCATCTAGCCTTTCACATGTTCTAGCATGCTAAGGAAAATAGTGTCAGTCATTTGATTTTCCATACATATGCGCTCCTTCTATTATCACATTTTGGATGTCATAATATTGGACTCAGCTTCCTTTTGTTGAGAGAAGCCTCTTCCATTTCTCCCTTGAGGGAAGACTTAATTTAGACCATCGATTTCTATATTTAATGTTTCTTTTTTTATTTTACATTTTTTAAAATAAAAAATTTATATAAATTAAAAAAATTAATAAATTTGTTCATCATTTTGGACAATCTAAATTTAATATGAATTATCTATATTTAATATTAAAAATTTTATAAATTTTTAGTATTAAATTTGGACCATTTATATTAAATTTGGATTATCCAGACTAGTTGAAAAATTATTAAAATTGTTTGTAATTTATATGAATTTTTTATTTTAATAAATACAAAATAAAAACATTAAAATTGGATTGTCCATCTTTAATCTGGACATTTCAAATTGAGGAGGAGTAGAGGAGGCTTCCCTCAGCCTCCCATAATATCAGTCTTGTAAGAATTTGTTATACAATTTCAATTTCAAAATATGGCTAATACAATAATTTTATATCAATCTAAGATGCAACTAGCTCACTTCATGACTTATTATATATTAATGGATAAATGTACAATTTTAATCATGAATTATTTTTTAAGCAAATTAACTATTTAAAATAAAGTGCTTAGCGCCTCCTATTGAATTCAAAATGACCATGTCCATTTCTCTTGCGAGGCCAACCCAGTTTTCACATGCACCACTCCCATCATTTAATGGTCCATTTCTTTTTTCAATCTCATCTACTTGCTCATCTCCTTATTGTCCCACACATTCTTCACGCATCAAATCTAAATGTTGAGGTAGTGAACAAAATTAACATGTCGATGTTGAATAAAGCTTGCAAAATGACATTGTTCTTTCCTATGTTTGGTTGTTTGAAAGGCAATGGTTCAAGGGATAGGAGATAGTGGAAGATAAGAGAATAGTGGAACTATAAGCATTGGTATAGAAGTAATGGATTCCTTCATTAGATCGGACAAAATCACTGTAAAGGAGGTTGCACCCTTTCAATGAGGAGCCAGCACATAATCCTTCTATGACGATCTTCTCAAATATTGATCTCTTTCTCCTACTTTTTGTCATTCTTTCCTCCGTCTTTTACCAAAACTAGCAAACAATGATGGGTTTGGATTTGTGTTATGATAAATTTTTGGGAAAACAATATGATAGGTCCTTATAGTTTCAAGTCATTTTGGTTTTAATCCCTGAAGTCTGTTTTTATTGTTCCATGTCCCTATAGTTTCATGTCATTTTGGTTTTACTCTTTGAAATTTGTTTTAGTCCTAATTACACCTCAAAAATACTGAGGTGTAATTAACACTGTTAATTATTATGCATGTGTTATTCTTATACTTGGTGGGCAATATGAGTTATTAGTCATTAAGTTTTGATTTTCCCCAGCCCATAAGATAAACTACAGATGTGAGTGAAGGATTGCTTCAAAGATGGATGCTTGACTACTTCAATTAGAAGATGCAACGAGAAGATACAGCCAGTGAACTTGGGAGGAAACACAGAGAGGATGGCTAGGGTAGAGGAGACGCTGCGATTGACTGTGTAAGGTTTCTTAATCGCATGTATGTGCCAACTTAGCAAAAAAATAACACATTTGAATGACAATTAACACCGTTAATTACACCTCAACATCTTTTAGGTGTAATTAGGGACTAAAATAAACTTCAAGGATTAAAATCAAAATGACATGAAATTATAGGGACCAAGAACAACGAAATCAAACTTCAAGGACTAAAACCAAAACGACGTGAAATTATAGGGACCTATCATAGTGTTTTTCCTAAATTTCCCTTTGTGCTGCATCAAACAAGCATAAATTTAATTTTATGAATTAATTAATAAGGAAAGGGACATTCGATTTTTATACAATAAACAAGCACAAGTTATTAGCACTCTCATTAGCTTTAGCTTGATCTCATTTTTGTTTTTTTTTTTTGTTCTATTCTTTAAATTCTCTCCCAAACTCTCAATCATTTGTTCACATGCACAAGTAATGATCATTAACCATTCTCTTTAATCTTCCCTTCATAGCTCTCTAAGATTTCTAGGTTTTTGGGGTTTTGCCTTTTAGGTATAAACTTTGCTTCCTACTCTTAGACATATTGTTTAAATTGGAATCGAAATTCCTTCTAGTTGCTGGTGTGAATGTTATAAGTTATAATCTTAGGAGTTATGAATTTCAACCTCTTAATTTCAAGTGTTGTATTTTCATATTGTTATATATATATATATACATATAGCTTTTTGTGTGTCATCAAGTCTTGATTCAAAGCCTTGAATTTTGCTGTGAAATTTCCTTGTATTTTTTGCCTTTATATGAGGACTTCAATCGATCTAAGTTAACTTGTTTAAATGAGTTTGTAATTTAACAAGAAAAACCATGTGAGGTATAAAATCCAAGATTCTGTCTTTTACTTCCAAAGCAATACATAAGGAGTTGTCGAAGGAGAAGTGAGAGGCAAAGTCCATGAGAGAGAGAAAGTTAAATGAATGTGAGTCCCATAAGTATGAAAATAAGCAGACATAGTGAAAAATAGAAGGAAAGAGTTTGGCGCTACGTTTTAAACAATTAATGATTTATTTTACACCATCTTATAATATGTGATATTAGATATTTTTTTAAAAATAATTTGTGGTTAAATTTATACCTTTACCCATATATTAATAAGTTAAAAGGGTATTTTTATCCTTCAATTATTTACTCAGGAGCGTTTCATATTCTAAACTTACAAGTGGTATAATTTTTCCTTTAACATTTTAAAAGGGTGTGGTAAGCATTTTATTATTAAAAAAGACTTTGACTATTAGTTAGTCCAAAAAAGTTATTAAAAAAACTTAAAAAATTATAAAAAAGACTCATAAAATTACAACTAATTATCCTATAGGAATTAATATCAATTAAGTTCTTATAGTAATGGTCGGTCAAAATCATATTTTAACCTTTTACATGTTAAAAAATAACATCTGTGTCATGTTATTTATATGTAATTTGAGAAACTTAATTGATACTAATTTTTTATAAGATATTTATGTGTAATTTTATGAATCTCTCCTTATAATTTTTTATATTTTTTTGTAATTCTTTAAGTTAATTAATAGTTGAAGTCAACAAAATTATAATTATAATATACTTCCTCCGTTAAAAAATGTGAGGTATTTTTAATTGAATTTCACCCTTTAATAAAATAGCTACATGCTTTCTAACTAACTCTATCTTTTTATATTTACTCCTATAAAATAACGTACAATAAATATAAAGTCATTAATCAATAGGGATATTTTTATCAAAAGGATAATGATCACACCTTAAAAAATTAAAAATACTTTATATTTTTAAATATATAACTTTTCAAAAAATATTTTATATTTTTAAAGGGAGTATAAAAATTAAAATATTATATCCTCTTACAGGCTTATAGCTGGAGGGTATGTATCCGTTGAACTTGAACCCTACATTAATTCCTTGTCACATTGGTCCTCCTGGGTCATTCTCGCTTGAATTTGAGACCGGTAACCCAGCCCAAAGAAAAAAACCTAGGAAGGAGATTTGGGCATGCAAAGGGAAATGGCGAGAAACTTGATTCACCGATCGTCCACCTTTCGCTGGGCATTAGAGAACAGACTCTGCCCCCGCTTTAACCATGTTCGTTCAGATTCATTCGGAACATTGATTTCTGCACCCACAACTATAGACCCATCTCCGCCGTCAAAGTCATTCACTAACTCTTCGTTTTCTGCCATCGCCACCATCACTCCTCCGCAACTCTCCGTTCTGCCGTCATTCCACCACTATCGTCGCTTTGGCTCCTCTTCAGGTGGGTCCCTTCGGCTTCTCCTATTCTTCAAATTATTCTTAAACATATCGCAAGGAAGAATTGAGCAGCCTTTAATATTACTTTTAACTTTTAATGTATCCTGGTACTGAGTGTGGATACATCACTGTGTCATACACTGGATATCTGCGCTTATTCCTACTTGCTTATTACCACATTGTTATGCAGCAATGTTAACTGGGTCAAACTTAAGTGCTCAACGGTCGATGGGTTTAGATACTTCAGCGGCTAAACACTTGTCAAGCAGAATGTTTAGTCAAGCTAAAAGGAGTGTGTTTGCATTACATGTTGCTGTCAAAGTAGTTGTTATGCTATAAGTCATCCTAGAATTAGTTTCGACAGAGTGTGAATTACGTGTGCATTTTCTAATCAATCAAAATCATTATAAATGGTTTTCGTTATATTTCTTTAACGAATGTACTCCTTCTGAAGTCTTTTTTTCTTTTTCTTTTTTTTTAAAAATATTTTCAGGTCCTTCACACATTGTCCTTGTTAAGACAGAGGAAGAGTTTAACAATATCCTTAGCAAAGTACAAGGTACGTGTTTTTATTAGGAAAATTATACTAGAGACTCTATTTTGGTGAGTTTAAGTAAGCCCCTTTGTGTAAATGTAATTTATATAAATCATATAATTATGATTACTGGGCTAGGTAGAACTGAAATCTTCTTTCTTGTGAAAATTCTCATATTAGATCAATCATTGCCTGCGATCTTCTATTTCACTGCAGTTTGGTGTGGACCATGTAAGTTTATCTCTCTCCCCTCTCTCATTCCCTCCCCCTTTGTGGACCAAGATCTTATCAATAAATTGTACTCTATTTTTCTTTCTTATTAATATTTGCTTGTTTAGATGTGCTTTAAGTTTAAAGAAATCTTTTTTCTTTAAAATTATATCTTAAATTAATCCAAATAATATAAATTAATATTCCTCTTATTGCATCGCTTGTTTCTCTAAATATGTATATTCTAGAAAGCATTTCTCTCAAAATTCTTCCTGTATATATTTTTGTATAGGCAGGTTTATTTCTCCTGTTATCGAGGATCTCAGTGGAAAATATCCTCATGTAACAACGTATAAAATTGATATCGATCAGGTACAGCCTTCATAGCATGTTTTCTGGTGTAATGCATTTTGTATCTTTTTAACTTTTTACATATAAATTCCCATTATATTTAACTGCTTATCGCTCTATCACTCATCTCATTTTTGAATTTTATATTAAGTTCTGTATTGAATAATTTTAATAATGTTTTCAAGATTTTATTGAATCCCCATCTCATTCTGCTCCTGGAAAAAATTGAAGCTTTGTTTGGCATGAGTAATACTTGTGCTGTGTCAACATTTTTAGGTCCCATTTAATTCACGCATAGCCAGCATTGGTATTACTTTGCATGAGTGGCCTTTAGAAGTGCTAGGCTAGGAAGAAATTTTTAGTACGGGATGTTTCATTTTGGTCATGCTGTATTGTTAAAGGTTTTCTAAACATGAGACTTTTTGAGCTCTTCCGCAATTAAATTTTAATTGGTTTCCTTGGGAATGAAGGATTTGCCTCGTGATCACTGTGGCACTGAAAAGGGAAGCGTGTGAATTAAGTTAGTAAAGATGCAATGATTGGGTAATTGACACCTTCGAATTTAGAAGTTGTCCTTGTTAAAGAATAGAAGTCCCATATCTGAAATTGATTAGAAAAATAGAAGGGAACAGCTTGTGCTATTTTGGTGGAATGGACAAACTCAAGCACTACCTCATACAAATAGTTAACATGGTATTAGAGCAATTCAAAAGAAAAAAGTCTCAACCATAGCAAGATCCTAGACCCATAAAATAGAATTTTAGGACCTCGGGCCTTTGAGACTTAACAGTACAAGGTCAATAAATGAAGAAAAATAAAGGACTTCCCTTGGGCCTCAAAGAACACAAGCTTAGGTATATAGAGTTCGATGCAATGATAATTGGGCGCAAGAATAGGGTGAGTCAACTGAGATACATTTGGGGGGGGGAGTGTTGGGGAATAGAAGTCCCATATCTAAAAGTGATAAGTAGCTTAAGCTCTTCTTTTGGGAGAAATGGACAAGCCCAAAAACTATGCATACAGAATTATTAACAGTCCTAAATCGGAAGGTTTACACATTTCAAATCACCGAGCATGTTTGGGTGATAGAAAGATTGAAAGAAAGCTTTGTGTGACTTATGTTGATTATAGAGAGGGAGAAGGGGTACTGTGTAGGTTGAATAATGAAAGAGAGTTATTTAGGCTTGTCACTGGGAGAACTTCACTGATTTTTAACGGAGCCTGCCTGCACCTCTTGGTCATGGCAACTACCATACATATAAAAATCCTTGACTATTGTTTTAATCCTCCATATCTTGTGCATTTTTTTTCTTTATCCACTTTCAATATTTTGGGAGAAGAAAGTAGTGAAACCTGTCTTCTAGTTATGCTATATTTGAGCATGGTTCTGCATATGGTTTAAGATAGGGAACATGAGGGTTTGAAACTGATTTTTTTCCCTCTTATCTGTTTTTGACTTTTTGTTTCCTTCTTGTTCTTTCTGTATCCTTTCCTGATGAATACATTTATATCAATGAAACAAGAAAGGTCTAGAGACTCTTTTCTTTGATGCAAGTGAGGAGGAAATACTTGTTAGCTTACTTAAATTGTAAATATACATTATTGGTGGATATGTAAAATTGATGCTTTAAATGTGGTTTGTAAGCATCAAAGACCATTTTCTTGTAGAACTAGGCAGAACAATTGTGTTTTAATTAGCCTCTTCCATTTGACGTAGGTTTTATCTTATCTTGAAAATTTTATTGCTTTGTTGCATCAATAAATTGCTATGCATGAAATTAGCTGAATTTGATACATTGTTCTCCTACTTATCCCAGGAAGCAATTCAAGGCACGTTGGGCAAATTAATGATCACATCTGTGGTAATGTCTCATTTTGTTGGAAAAATATGTTTTACATTTAGAATGCAATGGCTCAATTCCTTATATGTGACTGAGTTGACATCTGGAAATTTTCATTTATTAGTTCAGTTGATTTACTAAATTTGTTTTATGAAACGGTGCCTTGCAAATGTGGACCTGCTGTTCTCTGTGTCTCAGATTTATTTATTTGTTTCCATACAGCCAACGCTCCATTTCTTTCAGAATGGAAAAAAAGCTGATGAGCTTATCGGAGCTGATGTTGGGCGTCTGAACTATATTGTGGAGAAACTCTTCAAGTAATTCCTTAGAGTTCAACTTCATTATACAGTTTGTCAATTTGATGCAGGGACTGTAAGTTAAAAAGACTTAAAGCAAAGCCCATTTAAGTAGTGATATTGTCTAATGTTCCTGGTATTGTTAGTTATATATGACGGGCTGTTGTTTTTCAGTTACAGATTTTGAGTTGTACGCACACTAGGACACAATCACATGCTAAAATATTTGGTAAATGAAATTCTTTGCTTGGTTGTGCATGTAAAGAATAAAAGAATGCATTGTCTATGGTTGCAAAATTAGAAGTCCTATGATAGAGTTGGGGTAAAAAAATGCACATTAGTGGAAGGACTCAACTCTATCTGACATGGGACTTTTCCCATTTTTTCGCGTCAATTCAAGCACTCACTTGAAATCCTTATAACATATTGATTAAGTATTGTATTTTCTTGTGATTTGATTTTTGGTATTGGAGATACTATCCCAGCTTGCTTCAGCTTTTAGAACGATTTATGTTTAATCAATAATCCATGGAGCTGATAAACAATATGCAGATTTGGGATTGAATGGATAATTACTGTTTTATGTGTTTATTTTATATGCCTCCTTTTAATTTTCTTGAATCCATTGAGCTGCTTTGACTATACAATTCAGCTAACTGTCATGTTGTGTTTCAGGAAGGACTGACTAAGATTATGATGCGAGGATTAATCGGCTGATGAAGTGGTAAATGATAAAGCTTAATTACTTAAACTGATCTTTCTTGGTCCCAAAAAAAGAAAATGGATCTTTTGGGTTTCACAACCGCCTAGTTTATAGTTGGGGAACGTCTCCTTGTTAATAAAGATTGAAGTGGTGTTTCTGTGGGTCAAAACAATAAGTGATGTTTATATATGTGTTCACTATGCATGTTATATTTTAATGGAGAAAAGCAGAGTGAAAGGAAAAAATGTTTAATTTATATTTGGAGAACAAAAATTTTTAAATCAAGCATTTCCCCATTTATTTTCCCGTTTCTTCTATTTTCTTCAATCCTAGCATAGCTTTCCCTTGATTTTTTTTAGTGCTTACCTGATTTTAGTCATGTTTAAGAATTGGTGCAAGCAAAGGTCGTATCAAAAAGTGATTACAGTGCCATGATCAACATTGGGAGCGTTTGCTGTAATGAAATAAAATAAAATGAAATAATAAAATTGAAAAGATGGCTTTGGAGACGTAAGATATTATTTAAATGTTTGAGTAAAAAGATGAAGGCAATTATAATAAAGAATTGTATGTCTCGTAATATATGTGTGTGTGTATTATGAAAAAAGAATAAATATTAGCCCTTGCAATTTTCTTTGAAAATAAACCCTCTTTAAACTTGATGGTTGAGTATATTCTCCAAACTCAACCATCATGTGGGACATGCTTTGAAGCAGCATCATGTTCCAACAACCTCATGATGCTTTTTCGGCTGTGATGATGAGGAGGCTCTTGACCATATTTTTATGTTGTGCCCTTTTTCAAAGGCAGTTTGGTTCAACGCTATGGGTATTAAGGCAGATCTTTATCAACATAATGGGATTAAAGAATGGCTTCCAAAAATGATAAAAGATCTTCATGCAAATAGGAATCTTGAGCTAATTATGGAGATTATTACCTTGGTCAATCAGATTTGGTGGGCTAGAAATCATGCAATTCATAACAAAGGACATATCACTCCAGATGAGGTTATCAATGTCTTCCGGGAGAAAGTTCTGTTTAATAACACAATATGGAACAATTAGGACCTAGAACATAGAAGGCAGGGCGATAGACAAATTATCGTTAACTCACCATGGAACCCAACAATCATCCAACAGGCTTGGACTCTATGGATGAAGAAGAGAAAATTTATGGGAAGAAATAGATGGTTTTGTTTGGTCAGATGCTGTGGTTCCTTGATTCGAATCTTTCCCAATCCTCTAAGCTTCAAGCAAAATGATCGTGTAGAACTGACTTTCCTCCTAAGAGCAATTCTGAGCTAGATTAAAGGAGTAGTGGAAGACTAGAACCTGCAAAATCTACTGATTGGAATTATTGGTTACAGAAAGAGAGTATTTGTGGGGAATATGCAATGGGCCGGTGAAAAGAACAGAGACATAATACAAGAGGATATTTCGCATCTTTTTTCTAATTTCTCCAAAGTGTATTTTCTAGTGAGTGATGCCTTGTCTTATTTTAACTTTTCCTTCTCTCTTGATTCGCCACTTTGAGACCTCTATTTAGTGTAATCTTTTTACTGTGTTATTTATTGTAATGATTTTGAAAAAAAAAAAAACTTGATGGTTGATGTAACACATGCTTGCACACACTTGCAAAGATGTAAGGAGAATGGGAGAAGAAATAGAAAAAGAGAGTAGTAAGGAGAGGGATGAGAAAAGGGAGTAGGGGAGAAGAGGGACAGAAAAAAAGAGAGTGGAAAGAAAGAGAGAGAATATAGAACTTATAGGAGGAGGAAGAGAGAGAGACACATAGTTGAGAGCGAGAGCATTCACATAATCCAAAAATTCATCCATTCAAATCTAAACCAAGTAGTCACACACTTAGCAATTTAGACTAATTTAACCAACTATATAGTTTAGTAGCAACTAAGGTTATCCCCCAAAGAGGTGTTTAAAGACTAAATCTAGAGTTTCTTAATGCAATTAAGTTAAAATAAAAATCCCAAGAATTAATTGATTTTAATTGATTTAAATTAAATACTAATCAACCTAATTAAAACCTAAAGACCTAAGCTAATGAGTTTGTGAAAATGGGATGGAATAGGCTACTTGGAGTTAGATTAAGGCTCAAATCCTAACCACTTAGGAAATGTGAATTAATCACCTTTAATTCTTCTCTTCCTAACCAAATTATGAAGCCATTAGGATAATTCTCTCCAGCAACCTAACTTCATTAGGGACTCTAATTAAGTTTAGGATTCTAGAGCCCTATTCAACTTCCTAATTTAGTTTTAGGCTCAAGTTAGATGATGAATGGCAAATTCCAGCAAGCATGTTCAGCCCCTTACAACCCGAATGACCCTTAAAATTATGGTAGATCACAAGCAAGCCCAACAAATACTCCTCAAGATTATGATGAAGCATAAACTAAGTGAAAACACTTAAGAACATTTAAAATTATGACATATTCAAGGGTGGCTGAAATATATAGTTTAACATACCAAATAAAATTTAACAATAATCAAATCAATCTCCATACAAAAGTATCAACCAAAATTATGGTTGTAAAGCTAAGACATAGCAATCTAATATTATGATCTTACAAGTCTATTAATGAAAAAAATAAAAGGGTTACAAAATTGAAGACTCAAGTAATTCATTGAGCTTCCATTCTCCTCCAAGCATCCAAAATGATTTAGCCTTTAAAATTCTTCAAGTCCTCTATAAAAAAAATCAAGTTGGCCAAACCCTTTCATAAAACCAAGTAGAGATTAAAGCATGAAATGGATGATTAAGTGGTAGGGATATGTGGAGGGGAGTGAGAGGAAAAGAATGGGAGTGATTTGGTGATAATCCAATAGTTAGATGAAGAGAAATGAAGGAGAGAAGGGAGCTACCATGGCTGAAAAAAATGAAAAAAAATGAAGAATAAAAGAGAGAATGTAAAATAAAAATGAAAGAGATAGTGGGAGATGAGCGTGTGGTGGCTTGGGTTAATATTTTAAGTGAAAAATGGTTGAGAGAGGCATGCATTCCAATTGCCAAAATGGGAAAAAAATAAAACAAAAAGAAAAAGAAAAGGCTAGGGGTGAGCTACACACTTCCTACATGTTCAAATAAGTGGCCTCTTCTCATTAGTTTAAAGGGGAATATTTTAAGTGAGAATATTCTCATTTATTCCATCAAAGGATCTTATTATTCTCTCCCTTTTTCAGCCCCAAAATGATGCCACATTTTTCTTTTTTAACCCTCTTCTATGATCCTTGATCAATTGTAAAAGTCAAGTCCACATATGCCACCTAAGTCACAAAATAAACATAAAATCAAAGTCAAATATTTATGTGACCTAATAATTAAATTCTTTCACATGGAATTATTTAACTATCATGGGAGAACATTAATAAAGTATAATTCAAGGGTAATGACACGTGAAAGCTCATGCAAACACATAAAACCCTAATTCGATCAACAAAGTCAATAACTTTGAAATGTGATTTTTATTTTATAACTCCTCAACCAGATTAAATTTTAAAAAAATAATCTTATATTCATTCTTTTGGGAATAAAACTCATGTAACACAACATTAACCTAATTTTTCATAAAAAGTGCAATTTTAGACCAAAATATCTCCAGTACACAATTTTTTCCTTAGGTGATTTTCTTGCTTTTAATACCATAAATGTATCAAAATGAGAAATAAAACATTTAAAAAGAATCCTAAATGAATGGATAAAGTGTGTAAAATATGAGTCTTATCAATTCCAATAACCGACTTACATGTGTTGCATGGTGGCTTTTTATAGAAGCCACAACTAAAGTTTCCTTTTTATGAAGGAAACATAAGACAAAATAAAATATAAGGTTTCCTCTCACTTTAAGGAAATATCCACTTGTAGCGTATTCAATGAAATGATAAAACATCTCACTTACTAAATAAAGTCAAAAAAAGAAAGTAATAAAATATAAAATTAAGATAGATTTCTTTTTATAGAAGGTTTCTCCAAAATATTTTATTTTTATATTTTATCATTTCTACCTTGTTATTTTTATATTTCCCTGCTTGATGGAACTTTTCTCAAGAGAGTAAAGAAGTTAATGTAACTCCATTAAAGCACGATGCAGGGAATCCCTCTAAGTAATAACTAATTTGGAGATCTTTTTCACCATACAAGATAATGGAAAATGAGACTATGTGGAGAATAAACAGTTTGATTATAGTGATTTCAAAAGCCTTTCCAATGAACAAGGTAGTTTAGAGGTTGTTATCAAAGAGGAAAATGATATGTTCTTTCATAAACAAAACAACTTTTGTAGTAAATAGTGTAGCACATGGTTGATTGGAAGTAGGAACCTGACAAAGTTGAACATTCCTCTTATCAAGATCCCTAACTTGATAAATCTTTAAGGCTTGTGACTCGAGCTTTGGCCACCAATTTGAAACCTTGATTTAATTCAAGACTCATACCTTCATATTTCATGGAGATTGCCTTTGAATCAACCTCCTTTTATTTCTTAATAACATTTATGCTAGTCTCAGTTATTGCTTTAACTTCTTATATTGCTAAGCTTCCAATTTCAAGACCACTAGTACTGTTAGTATCCTTTTTTTGTGTAACTAACATAGGTGAAGGCTTGTTGATAAGGACATTATTTTCTAGAGCCATGAAAGCATCATAATCCTCTCTAGATCTTGAAAAGTTTTTTTTCATAACACATTGTTCATTAAAACACTTGAGAGCTCTTGAGATTTTACCAACCTTATTATTCATATACTCCTTTAACTCTTGAAATTTTTTATCCCCATGTTCCTTATGAGCCTCACGAGATTCCTCAAGGTAACTATTACTAATTTGAGACATAATAAACACAAACTAAACTCCGACAAATGATTTCTTGCACATAGAATAGGTCAACATAGCTTTAAAAGCCTAAAAGATGAAATTTTACCCCAATTCGACTTTAGATGATGATCTTGATCTCTCAAATTTCCAAACAGAGGAAACCTTGCAAAACATCTTAAAAAGCACAAAAAAAGGTTTTATAGGCTTTTGTATAGACAACAGATAGGAGCATGAATGCTAAGCGTATGGAGTTGTTATTGGCATGTTCGGCATATGAAGTCCACAAATAGAGAGCATCTTTGACGCATGATAAAGCATTTAGTAGCTAACAGTTGCAAGGCTTTTGGGGTTGACATGATTCTTCCTTCCGAGCATGATGTTGGTGGTTTTGGTTTTTGACTTCAGGAAGTGTGTTTTTTGTTTCAAGTAGTGTGAAAACAAAAGGTATAAGGGGTTTTTTTCTAGTGAGTCTCTTTGGTTTTTTTTTAGGCTTTAGAAGCAACCAAGGATGGTAGAAACACAGGTTTTGCTACCAAATTGATGTAACACACATTCACACACACTTGCAAAGATGTAAATAGAGGGAGAATGGGAGAAGAAATAGAAACAGAGAGTGGTAAGGAGAGGGATGGGAACATGGTGGTGCGGGAAAAGAGGGTTAGAAATAGAGAGAGTGGGAAGAAAGATAGAGAATGAAGAATTGATAGGGAAGGGAAACAGAGGGAAAGAGATGCAAAGTAGAGAAGGAGAGCATTCATATGACTTAGGAATTCATTTATTCAAATTTAAGAACCATCTTACATGTCACTAGTACAAAAAAAAGAATATAAAATAGTTATTTTTACTAATATTTAATAGTTTCAGACCATTGAGTAATTTGACGCTGAATATTTTAACTATTATTGAATGTTATTCTTTTATTCAACAAATTTAACCAAAACCATTGAATAAATGTTTGCATTTTTTATGTGGGTATTTGGGAGAGAAAATATTTAATGGTTCTGGGGTTAGAACTATTGAATATTCTTGAATTATTCAACAATTGTATCCATACAATTGCTAAATAGTTTTCACTATAGATTTGATTATAATATTTAATGATTTTTTATGATAACCATTGAATATTATAATCAAATTTTTTAAAATAAGGAGGTTGCATTTCTAGCAACTCCCTACATTATAAATTAATGTAGGGTAATGAATAATAGTATATATGAAAATGAACAACTTAAAGTAATAGACAAATAACTATCTTTTAGTAGGAACAGGCAGGTAATTCTTTAAACATTTTAATTTCACTGCAATACCCTTGGATTGCAATAAAATTTCAAAGTATATGGGCTTCTCTTTTTTATTAACTATCATTAATGGTTCTTTATTGAAAATTTTCCATTTTCACTTCTTTGCTTTTTTTTTTTCTCAGGCTCCCAAGTTTTCATTTTTCTCTTTTCCCTTTACAAGTACAATGCATTGATCCCTACTAAAATCCAACATCCATCTTTTAGATATCCAACTTTTAAAAAGCTCAAATTCTCATATAATTTGTTATAAAAGTTTTTTTAAAATTATACACGTGTCTTTCTTATGGAGATAATTTTACTTGAGACATTATCGATCACTACATATAAGAATATCTTTTAACAAAAAATTTAAACTTTGATTCATCACGTGCCACAGGTGACTAGTTTCTGTTGGTTGTTATCATAGCTTTGCTTTACTCTCTAAAACAAAATTTAAAAAAAAGGTCAATTTTTTTTTGTTTGCACCAATTATCAAAGCCCCTAGTATTAGTGTTCACCCCTTTCTAAAACCAAAATTTATTAAGGGCTTGTTTATTTAAGATTAAAAAATAAAAGATTTTTAAATGATTTAGATATTTATAAAAAGAGATTTATTTTATAGAGATTTTATAAAAAAATATATACAGTATTTTGTACTTGGTTACAATAATAAAAAAGTGATTATTCGTTAGTTATTTTTAAATTTTTTTAAATTTTTTTATGAAAATAATTTATTAATTTTTTATTTTAAAATTTTATGATATCTCTGTGTATCTCACATTTTTAAAATATTCTTTCTCATCTATTGGATCAGATTATTTTAAGAAGTTACTCTCAAAATATATTATTAAAATGATCAAATTTTTTTTTTTCAAATTCTAATTATTTTTAAAATTTTAAACAAATAATATAAAACTCACATAATGGATTTTTTTAAAATTTGTTCATAAAATAAACTGAAACAAATAACCCCTAAATTCTTAATGTATTTTTTCAGTTTTCTTTTTTGTTTTCATTCACTTCACGTGTATATACTATGTCCCTTATGCTAAATTTTATAAAATTAAAAATAAAAATTGAGTCATTCGTGTATCTTAAAAGTTCACTGAATAAATTATTGAATTAAAATTCACTCGTAAGGTATGGATTATTTGGAGAATAATCCCTACTAAATTAAATAGATAAGTGCATCTCTAATATGACGTCTTGGAAAATGAATGACTGTACCTTCAGATCAATTTATAGGAAACAAGTTATATTTAAAATTTAACTTGTTTTTATTGGTGAGCTTTGAAAGTAACATTATTTATAAATTGAAAATAAAGTAATGTATATTAATTAGACCATGGCTCTAATAATTCTCACAAGGTCTAAATAAGCAGCACGGTTAATAATGCAATGTTTTTATAAATTATCAATATTATCAATATCATCAATATCAATATCAATCAATCATTATCAATATGTATATAAATCTTGGAGAAGGTCACACTGATTGGTTAGAATTTTTTTGATGCTATTGGTCAGTTAATTTTGATTAAATTTAAATTCTTTTCATTCATTGGTTCAATTTATTTGTCATGTATCTTATTATTAAATTTTAAATATAAAATTTAAGTTTTACTCGGGCAATAACTCCATTCATCTCAGCTTTTTTATTTATCTCGCGTCTCTTAATATTTTTCAGTCTCTATCTTTAAGAATTTATGCATGTCATTATTAAATTTTAAATATAAAATTTAAGTTTTACGACAGCAGTAATTCCATTCATCTCAATTTTTTCATTTATCTCATGTCTCTCAATATTCTTCGGTCTCTATCTTTAATAATTCACGTATCTCATTATTAAATTTTAAATATAAAATTTAAGTTTTATGGGAACAGTAATTCTATCAGTTTCAGCTTTGCCAATGGCATGAATTTGAGTATCTAAGGAAGTTTGTTGTACCTCTTAGTGAGCATTTTTATTGTCACTTGTACTGGATGATAAAAAATTATCTTGTACTCCACTGCCACAAAATGGAATAAAAATATGTCAATTTGTAGAACTTTTTTATATTGTTGATGAGTGTTTATTTATATTACTTGGCTATATCTATATTATTACTTACAATTTTTTATTATCAAACTTTAGCAATTTACAAAGATTAATTCTCTCACTTTTAAGTTATTAGATATATAATTATATACAATTTCAATAAAAAACATTTGTTATAATTTTTCTGACAATACGCTATAAACATGAAATCAAAATAAGAAATATAATAATGTTTTATATATTTCAAATATAAAAAAGTATATAGTTCACATTTTTTGCATCATTTTAAAAAAAATAAAATAAAAGGATACCTATCCAAAAGTTTTGGTACCATAATCATATATAATGGAATCATAAAAAATTTGATCTTTTCAAACTACATTTGTAATTTATTATAGACTTGAGAAACAAAGACAAAATGTATAAGAACAAAATATTCAAAAATAAAAAAATAATTAAATAGATAAACTTTTAAAAATTTAACAATCTTAAATATGTTGATATAAATAATATTCAAGGTGTTTGTTTCAAATTTTTTAAATTTAACTTCTGCAATGCATGAGAAACTATCTAATTTCACTACAAATATTGAAATACTGATAATGAATCTCGTATTTTTTATTATTCATATATATATATATATTAATTGTTCATAAATAATTTTTTATTAAAGATAATTCTATTTAAGGTAATAATATTAATAATTTTTTTTTTTTTACCATTGACATGCGTGTGTATCGGTGCACTCATGCAACACAAAGGCCCAACTAACGAATAAAATGTCATTGTCGGGTGAAAAAGGTTCGCAAAAAATTGTCAGGGTAAAAAGTGGTGGCGAAACGGGCCCAACAAAAGAACAAAGGGCCTAAGACCCGAACCCATATAAGAATCAAATAGATCCATCCGGATCATTCGTCCCTTCATCAAATAAAAACCCTAATCCACATATGCTCATAGTTACTATAAAGTCCCTCGGTTCAGGTTTCGTTCGCGCCGTTCTGATTTCTCTCAGCTCCATCAACTCGTAAGCGCCTACAAGACGAAAATGAAGAGCCAAGGAGAGCGTGTCAGGTATGCTTTGAAGCCTTTGAAGGAAGCCTTTCATTTACTTTACTTTTACTTATTGGTTGTGTACTTTGGGATCTCAGTAGGACTTCGTTCATAATCAGGTGCAATTTTTAGCACTATCAAGAGTATTGATTATTAGAAATGTCTTTTTCTTTTGAATTTCAATCAACAATCTCTCCATATTGTTTCGCATTTGAAATGCTCTGAAATATTTTTGCCTTGCGCTTTTCAACTCTACCACTCTCTCGGTTATCCCTACCTATTGCGAAGTACAGAGTCCTCATAATGCGATGATTGTATTTTATGTTTTGGAAAATTCTTGTCTTTCATGGTATCACGATCATGGCCATATTAGTTGATTTAGTTAATCACTTTATCTTCCTAGATCCTTAAACATTTTCGTGGAGAAATACGATGACATTAAAAATGTGATGGAGCACGGTTAAATTTTGACGGCTATCGGTAGGCTTAGCAAAGAGGATGCTTACCCTTCATTTATCACTTATTTTATAAAAAAGTCTTCCTATTTATGTAAAATAGAAATTGCTTCGCATAACCAAGAGCTATTCAGAGCTATACATTATTTCGGTGCAAGGGAATGCTACCTTTTGGTAACATTTAATTGATTAAGATAATCTTATTCAAGTCCATATTTGGCATTAATATGGTGCTGGCATCTGGGCTGACTTAATCACCGCTGAAGTCTACAGCTCTTTTTAATTGTTAAATTAATCATTGCTCTTAGCTATCTGCTTTTCACACGTTCTTTTAGTTCAAAGTAGAGCTAATGCTTTTCCTCCCTTGTGTATTAGACTGTACGTGAGAGGGACAATCCTTGGATACAAGAGGTAAATCTTTGTTGACCTTGGTGTTTTCAATGAACTTTTCCAATATGCTATCTTGTGATTTATTGTTGTAGTGTTGAAGATATCTAGTAGATTGATGGATAAAAGCTGTTGGATTGGAGTTGTTGTGTCTTATTTCTTACCAATCTGTCAGTAAGACATTGTAACATCAAGGAAATTGTGTTAAAAAAGGTCATGATATTTTTCAGGTCCAAATCAAACCAGTATCCTAACACCTCTCTTATTCAAATTGAGGGAGTTAACACCAAGGAAGAGGTAGCATGGTATTGTGGCAAGCGAATGGCATATATTTACAAGGCCAAGGTTAAGAAGAATGGATCCCATTACCGCTGTATTTGGGGTAAGGTTACCAGGCCTCATGGTAACAGTGGTGTTGTCCGAGCAAAGTTCAAATCAAATCTTCCACCCAAATCAATGGTAATAAATTGGAAACATTGGTTTTTTGTTTCTTGAATTTTGTGTGAACATTATTGAGTTCTGGAGTTATGGTTCCTTGCAGGGGGCTAAGGTTAGAGTATTCATGTACCCAAGCAATATATGAGGTGAACCCTTTTTTATGCTTGTTTTGGTGTTTTGAATTTTGCTTGACTCTGTATTCCTGTTCCTATCGCATGCATATTTTACATCAACTGCATGTTTTACTATTTATTGGAAATGGAAATATTTGTTAATGCATTTTGCCTGTTCATGTAATACCATGTAACCTTGGCTTTCTGATTGTGTTCGTTATGGATGAATATACAAGGTTCTGTTACTCTAGATTGCTGCTCGTACCCTTTTTTTCTTTTCCTTGTTTGGAGTGATATTTCTACACGTATAACAAACAGGCTGATATAGTGATGAATTAGATCTATAAGATTATGCCAATCTCTGTTATTTGGGGATATGTGGTTATTTATGAAGTATGAACATTGATACAAGTAGAATAGGCACTTCGACCATTTTAACTGAAAATATAGACAACAACAGAAGGCACTTGACCTAGAACTTCATTGCTGGCCACAGGGAAAAAAGGGAAAAACTTATAATTAATAAAAATACCTATAATTCATCAGTTATATGAGGTGCGTTCTTGCTATCATGAGGGGTAACAAACGTGCACAATGTCTAAATAAAATTCTATGCATGTTTGTATGCAGTAAATCTGTTCTTGGTCACTTGGTTGTTCTGAATAATTGAACATAGTTGCACAAGTTTTGATGTTCTGCTTTTCTGTTTTTGAAATTTCTCTTGCAGGTTCTCTGGAGATGATGCTTAGTAGAATTTCATATTTGACAAGTAGCACATGGAGTTCTGTTCTTTTTGTGAGCTAAATTTATCTGTCTTTTGTACTTTGGAGCACAATTAAGTTTTGTTAGGATGGTGATATGATTGAATGTTTATCTTCTGTGTTTGCTATATTCTCAATGAAGATTATATATCCGTCGCTGAAATGCGTTTGAGCTTGCCTTCGTATTCTATTTGTTGCAAGCTGACTTAAGTAGTTGGGTAGAGATAATAGGGAAATATTCTATAATACCTCGCAGGATTTGTTTCTTTTTACGTCATTGATTGTGCCATGATCCTCATTTGTGGTTCTCATGTGTTGGGAGTACAAATCAGACCGCCGATCAAAGAAACCTTGATATTGGATTCATCCGTCAGTTCATGCTGTGAATTTTTTTTTTTGGGGGTGGGGTGGGGTTTACACTTTGCAAAATCTCTGATGAATTTAGGGCATGTTTCTTGCTCTCACTTGTATCAGGTGGTTCGTCAAATTTGCTCCAGTTCTCTCTCTTCCTCTTTCTAACCATCTTGTCTCCTCTCTTTAAGTCGTGGCACAATCGCTGGTTTTTGAAATCAATTAACCGTCTAATATCTGTTACACTAACCTTGTCTGTCTGTCCCTGGCGTTACCGCCAGTGCGTCTTTTCTTTCTGGAGGGTTCATGTAAATATATGAACCAATCAATGTGATCACGGAAAATCTTATAATCGAATAATGTAGAATCTTAAAGTTGCGAGTAGTTTGTGTTGAGGACAGTTATAGTTTGTTTTGGCAATATAAAGCCTGCTAGTATTGTGATCTCGCGCACACAGTTTGATGTTCAATTCGATGCCCATTGCAGTAATGAGATCTGGATTGTCTAAGTTTAATTTAGATAATTCAGATTTGAAGGTTTAGATCTCTTATAGGAGGATATTGTGGGTAACAAAAAAAAGAAAATAAAATAAAATGCAATGATGCAGGTATTTTTTTTTTTTTTTTTTGTTTGCGCTTGCAATCATTTCGTTTGACCACAAGGAATCCAAAATGGTCTAACAGCTTGTACCATTAGTGGTGACTCGTCCATTGGCGGGATCGCCTTGTTTCTTTCTTCTTGTTTTTATTTTTTTAAGAAGGAAAGGGGAGAACCCCTAGAAACAGAAACGGAGACAAGGAGCCATGTAGGGTGCTTGCCTTCCTATATTACAAACTTTCTTATAAAATATACTTTTTTTGTTAAAAAAATATAAAATATTTTTAATTGAATCTTACTTTTTAATAAAGTAGTTATTTATTTTTCAATTAACTCTATCTTTTTATATTTATTTCTATCAAATGTTTTATAATAAATATAAAATCACTATTAATAAAGACACTTTAAAAAAAAAATAATGATTATATTTTGAAAGATTAAAAATATTTTATATTTTTGAACATTCACTTCTCAAAAAATATTTTATATTTTTAAATGGACGAAATAATTATTTTTCTTTTTCAGATATGTAAAGATTGTTTTTGGCCCCCCACTTTCTTGTAATGTTTATTTTAGGCCTCCCATATGTGAATTTCTAGATCTGTCCCTGCCTAGAAAGGATGAATAAGGCCCAAACAAAAAAAAATTTACTATAATCTTGATGTAGATCTTTTAGAATTATAGCCTCCGAATCAATTCTACGAGCAAAATTAGTAAGATAGTCAGGGCAATTCACTTCTTTGTAAATGTGCTCGTACCTAACCTCCCAATCTTTCATTATGAGGTTTTTGATATCTCGCACAATATTAAAAGTCGGATGATTTTGGTCACATATTCATAATTCCAAGTATAGCCTCCAAGAAGTCAGAGCAAAGCTTAATTTTCCTTAAACTGTGAAGCTTGTTTGGGATTACCTTTGATTGACAAACTAAAGTAGAAGATGACAGTTGAGTGGCTTAGATGAAATGGTGATGATATTTTTATCTTTTTAAACTAGAGAAATGTCATTAAAATACCAAGGACCTTTGGTCGGATGAAAACTAGAAACACAATTAGAAAAAGAGTTCTCTGTTGTTTCCTTCACCTTCCCTCTCTCCACCACTTAAGCTGGCACGCTGCCACTACCATTTGTCACCGTCACGATTACTGCTGGCGATGTTTCTGCCTTTGTTGCTAAAACTTTTGATAATATAAGTATCTAATTCTAATAATTCTTGTTAATCTCAAAAGACTAGAGATATAGCATTTAACAATTTGCGAATTTTTCAAACAACATCTAACCTTGGAATGTTGAGATTAGCAACTCCAATTAGAAATTTACACCTATACCTATGAAGTCCATAGATACAAGGGACAACGTTTGGTACTTACATGGCCAGTTCATCAAATGAGCGAGTGTCAAAGAATAACTTGTTAAATAAGAATTAAAAACTTGATAAAGTTCATTTCCGAAGACTTATACAGAGATATATAAACATGGTTCCATTTTTGGCAAAACCTTGTCTTTAAAAGAATCGTGGAAAGTTGAAAATATAAATATATATATATATATATATATATTATTGGGTGTCGTCGACACTAATTGCTGGACATGTGACAATCAATAACCACAAAAGCAGCTAGACTTGGTTTGAATGAAAATAAAATAGAGAAGAGATAAAATTAGGAGAGGAAATTTTCAATTTTTTTTTTACTATTTCTAAGAATTCTTTCTCCTAGCTTTTTTTTCCTTTTTATTTTTCTTCCCATTCGTTAGAAGAGTGTGGAAATTATAGAAGCTGTACTTATGGATGCTTGAAAAGGGAATATATGAATCTTCGCTTCAAATGGGTAAATATACATGCACCCCCGTCTCAAAAGCAAATAAGAATCTTCGCTCTAAAAAGACTTTGGTTTTTTATTGTTGATTCCCTTGAATTCTTACTCATTATCTAAAAAAGAAGAAGAAGAAGAAGAAGAAGAAGTAATGGTGCTTGTTGAGTGGGAGGGACTGATCCCCTTTACGCAAGATCAAGGTTGGAACCTTATGGATACACAAAATTATGTTAAGAAACATATCGACAATGCTCGTAAGTCGTAACCTTTTTCTAATTCAACTTGACAATATTTGAATTACACCCAATAGTATTTGATATCAAACGGTTGTATGAAAAAATTCAGTTAATTTTTTGTGTCATATTTTTAATAAAAAAATTATATACTCATTTTAATCCTTATTATAAGATACATCTATTCACCTCATAGAATCAAGAAGAGGTTGCTAGGTCATTAATTTTGTCTCAAAAAAGAATAAAATTTTAATTTTATTCATATTCAAATGAAAAAATTTTAAATTTATATTAAATTCTCTCTCATGGTTAATAAATTTAAATAATTGAGAAAATATTTGAAAAATATAATCAATAAGCCACCAAATATTTGAGGTTAAGGATCATCAATTTCTTTTAAAATATGTTAATAAGGATGGGAGGGAGTATAATTTTTACTGTCAAAAAATTTTTAAATCTAGGGTTTTGTGGCTACACTAAATTACTGCTCTTGCAAAGCTGGGGAAATTGATTATGGCATGTGGTGCTGAGCTGTGGCTAATCTATGTCGATATAATTTTTTTTTTGGAAAAAAAAAAAAACCATGACAATAGCACAGATACGCGGCGAACAGCAGCACAAGAATATGACTCTTCCCCCTGCGCGCGCGCGTGGATGTAATTATTAGGATTGACAATGGTTCATTGAATAATTTTTTCTGTGATGCATCCTTAAAAATTCACAATTAATTAGTTACTCCCTCCGTTTGAGAGAAAATAACTACTCCTTCTGACCCAATTCATAAGATACTTTTTTCTAAAAAAATTATATCTCAAAATATAAAACATTTTAATAAAAATAAAATTTTATTAATTATATTTTTTTAATATTAACTTTATCATTTATTCTCTCTTTTTAATGTTCTTTCAAAAATAGAATATTAAATAAAAGATATTTTTAAAAGTTTAAATTTTTATTTTTAACAAAGTAAGTTTGTTAAATATATTCAATAATTTTATTAGTATGTGTAATTTTATTCAAATGTGTCTTATAAATTGAAACAAAAGTAGTATACATATTATGCAATTTAAAAAATATAATTAGCACCAAATGCAAATTTCTGAGTTCAATTGCCCCAAATGCAAATTTCACTCGTCCCAAGAGTCAAAGAATTGAAAGGCTGGCTCTGCACGTACGCCTTGGCTATAATATAATTTTTTTCTTTTTTAATTTAATAATATAATAATTATATTTATAATATAAAAAAAACTATTACACATGAAAAAAAAGTATAGAAAAATAAATTTAAATAAATCCACAATTAGTTTATAAAGCTTAAACATCCAAATCCTATGGCAACATCATCAAAATCATGCAATTAATTACGAGTATAAATGATAGTCTCAATATTATTTAGAAGAAGAGAATTTTAATGTTTTGTCAAAACATGCAAAACAATATTAAAAATAGATTGATTAGTCACAATAGTGATTGAAATACTAAGAATATTAGTAACTATCCTTGAAAGAATTAAAAATTAAAGTTGATTGTTTCTCTATTAATTCAATACATTTAATTCTTTTTAATTATGACATTTAAGTATTGGTTCACATAGACAGTTCTCTAGTTTAGACTTATCCATAGAAAAATAATCTATACTTGTATAAACATCTTAACAATCTTTCATTATAATTTGTAAAACATTAAAGAAATATCATTTACTATTTAGTCAAAAGGAATGGAAGGGTGAAATTGGAATTGAAATTAGGATTGGTATCAGGCACTCTCATGTTTTCATCTTTGGTATGAAGGAGTGGGCATTTCAATCTCAATACCAATCCCATCTTACATGTGATTACCTAATGCCATTACCTCCAATATTACAAAATAAATCTTGGCTTGGGATTGATTTTTTTTTTTAAGGTGAAAATGTCCTTCCAACCTCTCCCTTTCTTCATCTCCATCGCAATTCATTACTTGCTATTGTCTTCGTCACTAGTCAACTCTTTCCCTCCAGATCGTGTCTTACTTCCTTTCCTGCACTCTACTTGTTCTCTTCTCTATTATCGCAGTAGATGCTGCATCAATCAAGAGCTCTCCTTAGTTGAAACAATAGTTATCACCTCTCCCCTTTGCTACTATTTCTCCGCCATTGAAGTTCCAGCATTGATAGAGACTTCATCATCATCTACTATGCTACTCGAGATTTCTATTTTAGGGATTACTTTGCTTCTTCTTTAACAATGTATTAAGACTGCTTGTTTATTGTGTCATTGCATCTAGTTTGAGATGGTTGATTTTGTCCATTTCTAGTTCCATGAGTTTGCCCATCAATTCGAGTTCCACAAATTTTGAGATATAGTTCTCCAAATTTGGTTAAAGTTCAAGATGGAGTTCACTAGATCTGGTTCAAGACTATATTTTTAATGACAAGGGTATAGTCTTTTGATAATTTCTAATTAGTTATAAAATAAAATTGTTGTGCTCCACAAATACACAAGCTATGACAAGTAATGAAATGTGAGTAGAGTATCGTTCCCACAAAAATTTATTTAAAAACAACGATCAAATAAAAGATTTAATAAATTCAATCAAGCTGAGCTAAGCAATATTAGGTGAACATGGTTTTACAAACTAAATTAACACTAAAAAATAAAGTAAAGAAAATGATTCAAGACTTTTGAAAGTAGTTAGGCTATGATTATTTATCCCCCTTTATACTTCAAGAATACTCAATCAACCTTTAATATATTTTGCTCTTAATGATGAATTATACTAGTCAATGATACTAAATTACCTACAAGTGCTCTCTCAAGTCTCCAAGTAGATGTTTAGTTTAATTAATCCTTTAATCAACTAATTAAACTTTAATTTTTCTTGCAAATCCTATGTGATTATGTGAGGTTAACGAGTGTATCTCTACCTCATTAACAAAACTATCTATTCAACTTGTAAACTTTAAGTTGTCACACAATTTAATTCAAGTTCTACACTTAATTTAACCCTCTCAAGCGTTAATCAAGTGAACTCAACGAACTAATGGCTAATCAACTAGAAGCATCATGTATGGAGTAAATCAACATAATCACATCATTTATCACAAATACAAAGGGAGAATGAGTATTTAATCCATATAAAGGGTTCAAAATAATTTTAGAATTAAGGATTTAGCTACACATGTTCATAAAACAAATGAAAAAATACAAATATATTAGCACGAACATTGAACAAAAAAAAAGGAAGTAGAATGGAGAAAAAGAATCAAGATATAGAGTCAAAATCTCTTTCAATCTTCAAATCCAAGCTCAATCTCCACCAAAATTCATGTTTTGGCATACCCAAAGCTCCCAAATACTCCCATGAAGTCCATAATGTTGGCCAAAATTAAAAATGGGTCATATATAGTTCAATACCTTAACTTTATCATATAAATAAAATGTTTTATTTTGCTGTCGCGTTGAAAGGTGAAACTTTGGGATGTTTTGCACTATTCTCTCAATTAATGAAATTTATCCTCTTTGCACATAATTTTTTTCACCCAAAAGCATCGTTAAGAGTTCAGAAATGCATCCAACCAAACTTTAAAACCAAAATATTAATAAAATAACTTCAAAATATCAAAATAAAGTTATGGTTTGAATTTTCAAAACAATATGTACATTTTTCTAACTTGAGTATATATTCAAAATATGAACACTTGTGCCAAAATATATTAAAAATCTAAGGAAAATGTGCTTAAATGACATAAAATTATGGAGGTTAACAAAAATTAATGCAAGTATTCCATCCAAATATTACTCCATACCAAACATATTTTTAAAGCCTCAATCCCAATTTGAATTTCAATCCACTGAAATTCATACTTTTGTACTAAATAAGGCCTTAAATACTAATAAAGTAAAACAAGATTAAAAAAATAACAAACGTAATTGATAAAATATTTAAAAAATATATATCAAATGCATCATCAAAATTGATTGTTGTTATTAAGAGAGTTGAAATATGAGAACCACTTGATGTTTTTTATTTTATATATTTTTATATTTTTTTACCTAATTTTTTTTTAAAAAAACAGTAGGCCTAAAAGGATAGACTCTTTTAAGCCTAAATTTCATTTTCATCTCCTAATTTAGCAATCAAGTCCTAGTTATTTTCAAACTCAAATAGGTTGACTGGATAGGCTTGACCTATTTTCTCAACTCTACCAAAGAATAAACACTAAAAGAACAGTTTGAATTAGAGTAAGATAGCCTCAAAATTGGCTCTGGCCAAATATTAAAGGTGGAAAATGTTATACTCTTTCTATGTTAAATACTCCCTTCATCCCAAATTATAATACTATGAAAGATTCAGCATCCTAAAATATAAGATACTTTAATAAAAATGAGATTTTATTAATAATAGTTTTTTAATATTACCCTTCCCACATATTCTCTCTTTTCAATATTTTTATCAATGGAGTATTAAATGGAGGGTATTTTTAAAAGTTTATATTTTTTTTAAAAGTAAGGTTGTAAAGTGTATTTAATAAATTTTATTAATATGTGAGATATTATTTAAAAGTATCTTATAATTTAGAACAGAGGGAGTACAAGACAACATTGTTTTTGAAAAGTCCTATATTTTAATATGGAAAGCATTCTATGGAAACGCCAATCATTAATTATTTGCTTTTAATGGGAGACAAGTAAGTTTAACATATTTCTATTGAAATTTCAGGTGAAAGGATATTAATTATTTCTAAAATTTTGTAAAATGCCTTACAAAAACATACAATAAGTTTCTTAAAAAAATGTGTAATACAACTTGGTGTAAAATAAGGAATAACCAAAAACAAGTTACCCTCATGGCAAAATATTTTATATATATATATATATATGATTATCTTATTAGGTTAGACTCGATAATATTGAGTCTAAATTAAGAATAGTTTTCTTAAAAATGTTTTCTATATTTATATGAACTCAAACTTTAGATCTAGTGTTTGAGAGGTCATATTCCCAATAGAAGGATATTTATATGCTGGACATATCTAGCATCAATTGCAAACTCATTTGGCATCAATTCTAACACTTACATTAGAACATCAAAAATAGGGTTTCTAGGGCCCATTGCTAATTTGCAATTATATTGAACTCATAAGTAGGATGTAATCTAATTGAAATTGACTATATTTTTGAACTTCTTGATCACTCTTTATTTGGATTTTGAACCTCAAGGAAATTTTACATATTTTTATTTCTTTAAATTATATTTTCCCTCTTCCACATTTCACATGTATGCCAAGCTTGAGTATCATAGGATTCAAGTAGTGAGTGAGTTTGATGAATTGAGGGGTGAACTATTAACTAATTTTAAAATGAAAATACAAACAACTGAATTTGACATTTATTTAAGGACTTGTGTGGGGACATAAATCATTGAAAAAGTAGATTTAAAAAGTGAGACTTCAAATTTAATCTCTTATTATTTTATTTAAAAAATAATTAATTTATTAAAAATATAATTATCATTTAAACAATAATAATAAGATATTAAGTTTCTAACATTATAAATTAAATAATTAATCATATTAATTTTTAGCATTAATGTATAATAAAAATTATAAATCTTTATCACATTTTTTAAAATTATAAATTAAAAAGTATAAATAATTAGAAATCAAATTTTTAGCATTATAGATCAAATTTTATGTTATTTAAAATCCTTATTGCATTTTTTAAATATTTTAAATATATTACATTTGTATAATAAAAATATAAATAATCATAAATCAATGTCTTTTTTGATAATTGCACATTTAAAAGCATATTTTACTGTCATAATCTAAATAAATTTTAGTTTATTAAATTGACTTTTAAAAAAATATATCTAAACATAAATTTTGTTACAACAACTAATTTTTACTAAATTAATTTTTGTCAAATAAATTTTTAACAAATAAACTTTTGACAAATTAAAAATCAAATACACACTAACTTGTACACTCATTCAATATGTCTCACGTAATATAATAATAATATTTAATTTAATTGAATAGTAATAAGAGATTTTGTCATATATAAAACTTGAAAAATACCAAATCTCAAAATTGTAAAGCTAACAACATATAAAAAGTACTTTAATTGTGAGAATTGTTTTAAATTTTTAAAAAATATATCTTGATAATTTTTAAATATTGATAATATTTAATTGTTGTAATTGAAATATTCATTGAACGAATAAACTTATATTACTTACTGAATCTAGAACTCACTATAGGGCTACGTACAACTGTGTTGCTATCATCGTAAAAGTGCGTTTATAAGTTGCCCTACACACCATTTTATCAAAGGCTACATTCTCTCTCTCTTTCCATCAATCTGCTGCTAAACATTAAGATGGAAAATAATTATCCTCCTCATCGTCAACAACCTCGTGATCTCTTCAACGTATTCTCCGGAAATCATATTTCTACGGGTTTGCAGGAACCCACATCATCGTCATCTCCAAACTTAATGCTTCGTACTGAATTATCTCTTTCCTCTACCTTCTCCTTCACCAAAACCAGAGCGTCCAAACATACCCACCGGAATTTTTCCAGTGGAAACCGGATCAAGAGAAACTCATCAAAGCCTTCTTATTATAATCATTGCCATACAGAGAAAGAAAAAACCAGCAATCATGAGAGTAACATCTCGACTGCTTTGAAGCTTTACGATGACCCATGGAAGATCAAGAAGGTTCTAACGGCCAGCGATCTGGGGAAGCTGAATAGGTTACTGCTGGGCTCAGATTCCATGGAGGATCTGGTAGTTTCAGTGCTGGGAAATGATAGTGATGTTGATGATGAGGAATTATTATTCAAAAAGGGAATGGCAGTGAGAGTGTGGGATGCAGAAACCGAGTCCATGCATGAGCTGATTCTGAAGCGATGGGCTTCGTTCAAGAACTGCGTTCTGATTGGAGATTGGAATCAGGGTTTTGTCAAGAGAAGGGCTTTGAAGAAAGGAGATGAGATTGGTCTTCAATGGGATCCCTACAACTTCTGCTTTAATTTCTCCATTCTCAAGAGAGTTTTGGGGTAAGCATATTACACTTAATGATTTAATTTAAAAGCTGGATGATCGCTTAAAATTATATTAATATATTATTTGAAGTATTTCAAGGTGTCGAATTCATGAAAAAGTTACACTTTTACTAATTTAAATAATTAATAGTTTAAAAAAATAGATAAAATGAATAATTTTGATAAAAATGTAAAGACTAAAAATAAATAAAAAAATAATGGTGATAAAAATACAATCACTTAAAGCTTTGAAATTTAGGATTCACTCTATAGGTTGTTAGTCTCTACCTTTCGCGTTGACTCTGATCAATTATAGTGACAATTATTTTTAAAGTGTACTAATATTCTCTCGAATTATTAGTTCTTTTTTAATTAGCGTTGAATTAATTCCCATGATACCCAAGCAATTAATTAAACTATGAAGCTATAGTTTAAATCACCACAAATTTCTAAAACTATCCCTATCCTAGTTATTTATATTTATTTTTTTAGATTTAGGTTCACTCTTCACCTTTCAATCCATCAAGATTACCCATAAATTTGATTAAATGGTGGCCAGTTATTAAATCAATATAAAAAATAAGAGAAATAAATATAATTGAAAAAGGCAAAAATATTCATAAATATTAATGCAAGGAGTCAAAACAAAAAAAATAGAAAACTAGCTTCTCAATTGAGCTGCATCCCTACCCCAACTGGATAATTTAGAAACACATAATAAAATTAAATAACACCATTCTAAAATCCTCAATCATAAAAAATGATAATATAAAAAATTAAGGAGTACAAAAAAAAATAATCATGATTTGTAAAACTCCTCAAGGATCTCATTTTCAGCCTTTAAAATGTTTCTACAAGTTCTAAATATCTCAGAAAAAATTATTAAGATATTCAGATAAATAATTGGATACCTCTTCTTTTGACGAAAGGAATATTTATAGTTAAAGTGAAGGCTCTTTTTTTTATTTCCTATTGATGTAAGACTTTAATATATATATATATATATATTTTTGTACGTGTCACCTCTTTATTCTTTGAAAATCGCGTCCTCTTCGCTGTCATCTTTGCAGAATATCTAGTCTCCATGTATGTATTTATATCCTTGTGACAATAGCCTCCCACGTTTCCTTCTTTCATGTATTATATATAATCTTTTCTCTTTCTTTTATTTATTGCATTTTCCTCTATTATTTCATTTATTATTTTCCTGCAAAATATAAAAAAATATGAGTAAATTTTATATTAAAATTTTTTATTTTATAATTAAGTGATGGAAAAAAATATAAATATTAATTAAATAAATATAAAATCTTAATAAATATAATCAAATCTAAACTAAAATTTATATCTATTTAATCATAAAATATGCATTTATCACTCGACCAGACGTCGAATCAAAAAATTTCAGCAGCATATCTTTGGTTTTATAGTATTCAATCAGTTGGATCGACAGCGGAAAACTTAATAACGAGACATCCCAGGTTGTGATATATATGCAATTTGATAATAATTTGAGCGCACCACTTGTGAAAAATGAACAATGTCCAGACGCGACTTAACCATTAACTGATTATACTTTTCATGTTTGCCGATATTCTTCCTTTTCTTCTTCTTTCTTGCAACATTCATATTGTAATGTATATATATTTAATTTATATAAATAATGGAACAGCACGGCTTATATAAAGAAAAGTAATTAGTAAATTTGCCAATGCGTATGCTAAGATGTACAATCTTCTGACATGTTTTGGGATATTTCACGCCAAAAAAAAAACCAATTGTGATAAAATGCTATACCTTAAAACCTCTCGTACGATGAAAATAAATCATTGAGGGACAGGTTTTGATATTTCATTTCCTGTACTTCTTCCGTTTTAATCAAGTATATAAGTTAGATATATGATTATACGTACGTTATGTATGTATATGTATAGCACACAGTAAGAAGAATATATGCATATATTTGGGTATATGGGAATTCCTGTTGAAATGGCCAGTTTCATAAAGTTGAAGTTTGCATTGATTCTTTTGAAGCTCTTCAAAACGTCTTCATCCAAACTCATCTTCTTACAATACACAACCAAAGAAGATTAGAGACATCATTGTATAAAATTGAATTATTAGTTTTGACCAGGTTTATGCAAAAATAAATAAATGTGCTAATTGACTTGCTCATAAGACACACGATACTTTTGATATGATATCAAGTTTCACCTTTAAAGTATAAAAGTTTGTTAAGTTTTAATGTAATTTGATTTAGTTGTTTCCTTGAAAAAGAAAAATATTGGAGACATTCATTAATCCTGGTATACGGTATTTGGTTGATTAGTTTCAAATTACATATGGAGCGCATACACATTCTAAAAATTTAGTCTCAAAAACTTTGATTCTCACACTAATTCATTCTCAAAATATAATATTCAATTCTAACAACAAGTACATATTTTGTACTTTAAATTATGTTGTACTTCACTTTGTTGCTGGTACGTTTCTAACAATTTATAATTTTTATTTTAAATTTTTTAGATTTAAAAAATTATTTTTCTTAAGTTAATAATATTTAATTAAAAATAATTTATTATAATGATTAAAATTAAAATTAATATAAATTTTTGCCCCTTTCAGTTTTTTTTTAAATTTTATCTCTATTTATAACTCATCATTTTTTTATAGCGTGGCAATTTATGAGCTTATATGCTTGTTGTTTTCATTTTTTATTTTCAAAAGTTGTTTTACAAAAGAATTTTAAAAACTGTTTTCAAGAACAAATAAAAAAAACTTGTTTGATAATAGTAATCCAAAAACAGTTTTATAAATTTATGAGATGGATGATTCTTTTTTATTGGGACAAAAAATACAACGTTTGTTATTAATGAGAACAATTCTCATTTCTTGTTTCCCATTTTTTATCTATAAAACTAAAAACATAGGGATAGAAATAGCTAAAAATTGTTTTGGTTTTCTTTTGTTTAAAAACAAAAAATTACAAACTATTTTCGAAACAAAAATTAAAAAATCATTAAGAAAACAAGTTTTTTGTTTTAAAAATATTAAAATATAAAAAACAGTTTTTAAGAATAGTAAACAAACAGGCTCTATAGCTCATCTTCTAGTATCTGCATGTCAATTACTCACTCCGTTAAAAAATATAAGACATTTTTAATTAAATCTCAACCTCTAATAAAATAATTACCTACTTTTTAACTAATCTTATCTTTTTATATTTATCCCTATTAAACACTATACAGTAAATATAAAGTTATTATTAATATAGGCACTTTTGAAAAGAAGGCAATAATTACATCTCGAAAGATTAAAAATACCTTACATTTTTTAACATCTAATTTTTTTTAAAAAAAATGCTATATATTTTTAAATGAAGGGATATTTAATATTTATAACTCACTTTTTAAGATTTTTCCCTCCCTTCTTGCACGTGATAACTCTAACGTATTATACATGTCACGCTCTTCTTTCAAAGAAGAGTTTCAAAGCTGCGATTGGAGATGCAAGATTAGGAAATAATACAAATTTTAATTCCTAATATTTATTTTAATTCTTAATTTAGTTTTTTAAATTTAATTTCTATCAATTTAGTTTATTAAATTTATTTTGATTATTAATTTGATCCTTATTATCAATATTTATCAATTTGCTAACTTGGATACCAGAATTTTGATAGCAGCCATGTAAATTAATAAAAATGAATATAATTATTTAGGTATAAAATGATTAAAAAATTCTAAAGTTTTAAGAAACAAGATAACACAATGCATTGTAAGGAATTATATTGATAAAAATTAAAGTCATTTGAAGATTAATTTATTTTCATTTAGCTACATGTATATGTCACATCATTAATATACTTCATATGTTAGATTATTTTGAGAGTTAATATGTGTTTTAAATCTTAAATAATTTACATAATAATTTAAAAATTAAATTAATAAACATTGAATTTAAGGGACCAAATAATAACTTAGACCAACTTGAAAAGCCAAAAGTTTTATTGTATTAAATGGGTTGGGCTTCGTTGTTGAGCTAGGTTTCTATGCGATCTAACTTGGTTCGTAGAGAAATTGAAAAGCACCCTTCTTTCTAGGGCTTAATTCTTGCGCTGGCCCAAGAATATGAAAAAAAAGGGCTTTTCGGGGTTTCGAGCTTCGACGCAGTGAGGGGGAAATGGCAGGCGGATTGGGAACAGTAACAAAGAAGGGAGCGAAGAGGGATGTCTTCTTCTGGTGAAAACCCCAAACGGCGTTTCAGGGTTTTAGGGAGCTTGAAGAGCGACGAGAATTGATTTTCATCAATGCTCATGGATTTTAGCTCTCAATATCTCATTTTGTGTGATAAGAGGAAAACACGGAAGAGAAGAGAAATTCAGGTTAATTGATCCTTACCTGCTAACGCCCCTAAACTATCATCATTAGCTATTCCCTTGATTACTACTAGCCTTCTTATCACGGTCTTTCTTAATCTTCAATGATTTATCGTTGGAATTTAGTTTCTGGGAATTTCCATAAACTCACCAAATGCCTTCGTTTTTGCGCTCCCTTTAACCGCATTAGTTCAGAAAAGCTAAGGTTTTTTAGCTCCACAGCGAGATTCACATTCATTGCTCCCGGTTTTTCTGTTCCAAACACCAATTGCTTTTGGAGAAACCCTGCTTCTTGTAGAGATCCTAATCTAGTAGGTCTGCCTAGTTTGAATAGAAATTACTGTCATGGGAGGAACGGTGACAATGGGTCTGAGGAGTGGACTGAGGAGATAGATTACTTAGATGAGTCAGGTAATGTTATTTACAAGGGTAAAGGAATAAGGTCGGTAGAGCCTGGGCTTGATGACCATGTAATGATTGGTGAGGTTAAGAAGCCTTTTGCAAATGCCACAGCTGTGGCGAAACTAGTTGAGGTTATTAAGAGGTGGAAATGGGGACCAGAGTTGGAGAATCAATTGGACAAGCTCCAGTTTACACCAAACATGACTCACATTACTCAAGCCTTAAAGATTATCGGTGAAAGTGATGCATGTATAAGTCTGTTTAGATGGGCTAAGCGGCAATCTTGGTATTCACCAAATGATGAATGTTATGTTCTTCTGTTTGATGGTTTGAACCAACGTAGGGATTTTGATGGGATTCAGTCATTATTTGATGAAATGGTTAGTGATTGCAGTAATAGCAGAGTCTCCTCATTTGTTGCTTATAATCGGGTAATTCAGCACTTGGCTAAAGCTGAGAAATTGGAAGTCTCATTTTGTTGCTTTAAGAAAATGAAAGACACAGGTTGTAAAATTGATACTGAGACATATAATTCCCTCATCACTCTGTTTTTGAATAAGGGATTGCCTTATAAGGCGTTTGAGATATATGAGAGCATGGCATCAGCCAATTGCTCATTGGATAGTGCAACTTATGAATTGATGATCCCGAACTTGGCAAAAACAGGCCGTCTTGATGCTGCTTTCAAGCTTTTCCAAGAAATGAAAGAAAGAAATTTCCGGCCAGGTTTAAGCATCTTTGCTTCTCTTGTTGATTCATTGGGGAAAGCTGGGAGATTGGATGGTGCAATGAAGATTTACATGGAGATGCAAAGTTTTAGGTATCGGCCTCCTCCAACTGTATATGTTTCTTTAATTGAATCTTATGTGAAGTCTGGGAAGCTGGAAACTGCTCTTAGGATTTGGGGTGAGATGAAGAATGCAGGATTCAGGCCTAATTTTGGCTTGTATACAATGATCATTGAGGCACATGCAAAGTCGGGGAAGCTTGACATTGCTATGTCTACTTTTTCAGATATGGAAAAGGCTGGATTTCTACCCACTCCATCTACGTATTCTTGTCTCTTAGAAATGCATGCTGCATCTGGACAAGTAGATCATGCCATGAAGCTGTACAATTCAATGACTGATGCTGGTCTGAGACCAGGTCTCAGCACATATACTGCTCTCTTGACCCTGCTGGCAAATAAGAAGCTGGTGGATGTGGCTGCCAAAATATTACTAGAGATGAAGGCCATGGGGTATTCAGTGGATGTGACAGCTAGTGATGTTTTGATGGTTTATGTCAAGGAAGGTTCAGTTGATCTTGCTTTGAGATGGCTGCGTTTCATGGGTTCATCAGGGATCAGAACGAATAATTTTATAATTAGGCAGTTGTTTGAGTCATGCATGAAAAATGGCTTATATGAGTCTGCCAAGCCTCTTCTTGAAACTTATGTTAACTCTGCTGCAAAAGTTGATTTGATACTTTACACGTCCATTTTAGCCCATCTTGTAAGGTGTCAAGAAGAGCAGAGTGAGCGGCATTTGATGTCCATCCTTAGCGCAACTAAACACAAGGCACATGCTTTTATGTGTGGACTCTTCACAGGCCCTGAACAAAGGAAACAGCCTGTGTTATCTTTTGTGAGAGAATTCTTTCAAGGTGTTGATTATGAATTGGAGGAAGGTGCCACAAAGTACTTTGTTAATGTTCTTCTCAATTACCTAGTTCTTATGGGGCAGATAAATCGAGCTCGATGCGTTTGGAAGGTTGCATACGAGAATAAACTTTTCCCAAAGGCCATAGTTTTTGATCAGAACATCGCATGGTCCCTTGATGTTAGAAACTTGTCAGTTGGTGCTGCTCTCATAGCAGTGGTCCACACTCTTCATAGGTTCAGAAAGCGAATGCTATATTATGGTATTGTTCCGAGACGTATAAAATTAGTGACAGGACCAACTTTAAAGATCGTGGTGGCACAGATGTTGAGCTCAGTAGAGTCTCCATTTGAGGTCAGTAAAGTGGTTCTGAGAGCTCCAGGAGACTCAGTCATGGAGTGGTTTAAGAAACCGATTGTTCAGCAGTTTCTGCTGAACGAGGTTCCATCAAGGTCTGATATCCTGATGCACAAGCTGAACATACTTTTCCCCAGTTCTGCACCTGAAATTAGATCATTATCCCCTCCTAAGCCTCTCATGTCAAGTAAGGCAATATGAAGAGTCTTTACATCTAAAATGAGTTCCAGGCATGTGAGATGGAATTGTAAGTTCGTGATTATTTAGTGGGGTGGTATTTTTTTGTACTATTGTTTTATTTTGTCATGTACAGCAGTAAAATTTATGGTTCTGGAACGAAAATGCTTGTGTCAGTATCACTTTACAAGTATAATATCCATTTCGTCATTTTGTGATCTTTCAACTGCCTTTTTTGTTTTATGTATTTTCTATCTCTATTTTCTGAGTGGACTCTTGACCTGATTCTATGGACTTTGACATATTTCGTTTTCTAGAAAACTAGATGATTTTCGAGGACTCCTCAGAACAAGATAAACTTGTTCTGGATCCCTTCTTCAAAGGAATCTCTGGAAAGTAGCATTGAGCATTGCTTTGAAGTAGGTCGACTTGAAAAAGAAAACGAAACTAGTGTCCTCAATATTAGTAGACCATTCAGTACCTGAAATGCCAATATATGTATTCTTCAATGCTTTGACTTTTTCTGGGGTAAATATCATTTAATGCTTTTGTTTTATTTTTTTTAAAAAAATATAACTTTGAGTTCTTATACTTTTTTTTTTTCAATGTCCTAAGTTTCTACATTTTTGTTTTTTTTGGTATTCTAAGTTTTTTCAAGATCCCTACACTTGTTCATTTAGAGATTTAAAACACCAAAAAACAAAAATGTTGGGATTTAAAATATTGAAAAAAAAGTGCACGAACTTATAACAAAATGTAAAAAAAAAAATGTAGAAATTTAAAGTTATATTTTTTTTTTATTTTTGGAAAAAACTTTTGCAAAGTCCTGAATGTGTAAGCTTTCAGCTTCTATAATAAAGCATTGTATGGATTGTGGATAAACTTCTGTGAAGGAGAGGAGCATGGGCTTCAATTAAATAACGGAAAACTTATTCCCAAGAATCGGTAAAATGCAACAAATGACAGAGGAAAACAAAAGATAGGAGAGAGGTGCTCCATCTGGCAAGACCTATTAATAATTTCACTTATATTAAGGAATTCAGTTAAAATTGATTAATAATTTAAAAATGTAAAACAATTATTAACAAAATTCATTAATTAGAAGAGACTGTTCAGTAAATTAGGAACAACTGAATAAGAAATGAGAGGAGCAACTTGGCCCAAGGTGGGGTAAAATAAAATGTTGATAGGAGGTACAGACACAATTTAGCGACACTTAATATGGGCACGATTATGATCATCCGTGATAGCCATGGCAAATTTCTCTACACAATTTACAGGCACCGACAGCTCTAGAGCCAAGGGAGTTGATAATCGTTATATCTTAGTCAATCTTTGAGAATGAGGAATGTGCAAGCCATGGGAATATTAGGTGGTGCTAAACTACTAAAAGGGAAAAAAAAAAAACAATTCACTTGATGTATGGTATAAGAAAAAGTATTTTTTAAAAAAGAAAATAAATAGTATTTTTAAAAAGAAAATGAAATAGATGTATTTTTTACTTTTTAAGTAGAAAACACTTTCCACCTCCTAAAACATTGCATTACAATCTAACACATAGTACAAATGAAACCAACCAGCAGATTTGGCAAAAGAGGATCAAAAGAAAATTGAGGGACTTGAATATGATATTTGTTTGGTGATGTTTAAGATAGACGATGGAGTGATAAATTCTAACCAGGCGGGATGAACATCTTTTATATGATTTTGCTTTTATCCATTTGAGCGGACAAAAGTTGTCCCAGACAAGCAATAATCATTCATCAATTTATATGCTGCGCTTGGTAAATATTGGGTGCCAATAGTTCAAGAATGGCTCAGCACATCCTCATCTTCATAAGCCTGTTGGTGGCATTTAAAATGCCTTGAGGCACTAGAGATCGCCATTTTGGTGGGTGTTTATGTTATGTCAAAGCATTGTCGCTTTAGCTTCACAACAGTCTTACTACACAGGAGCAGAGAGATGAGAAGAAAATTAAAAAGAGTGGATATGACAGCAGGCTCAGAAATAGAATCGTCTTTTTTGAATGGAAATTACAGGGATGATGCTTTCTCGTTGATGGATTCTTTAACTGCTCTCAGAAGCTGAGGCATCAGTTTCTGGTTTGTGACAATAATGCCAGAAGCGACATCAAGAAACCTTCCTTTTGAAAAGTCCAAAGGGTTTCCTGCAGCATCAGTGACGAGACCTCCAGCCTCTGCACATGTTCAATTGTCAAATGAATCATATATACAAAAAAGAAAACACACAGGATCGACCATCAAACCTTTTAAATAGACTGAACTAACAATTTGGTCCTAGATTGTTATGTCTGTTTTTGCTTTAGTCTCTAACCATTTGTAACTGCCCAAGTTAGGGCATGAATATACCAAATTCTATGCATATTAAATATTTTGTCAAGTAATCTTTAGATGCCAAGAGAGTTAATATCCAATGACATCTTTTGAAGCCTAAGTACCAAATAATTTCAGTAATTTTACCGCTTATGTCTCTAAAGAACAGATTCAGGAAACTGAACGTAGGAACATACGTGTTTTTGAAGACACTACGTGTGACTTGTAAGATTCTATACATGATTTCTTTCTTTCTTTTTTGGCCTGAAGCAGACATGATTAATGGTAAAGTATCAAATTGAATGACTCAAATTTCTACCTTCCAGGAAAAATATGAAGAGCATGCTCTATGGACTACTGTGAGATGAAAGAAAAAGATTACAAAATTTACACACCAGTCACAACGATGCAGCCAGCAGCATGGTCCCATATTTTTTCACGGTATCCCTTGTGAGGAAAACGCAAATATATAGCCCCATCTCCTCTTGACAGCGCTCCATATTTTGCTTGGCTGTCAATTCTAACTGGTGGTGCCTTGACGCCAAGTTTCTGTTCATGAATTGGTCATAGCATTGTGGGAATGTCAGCAGAAAACAGCTAATAGAAGAAAGGAAAAAGGGGTTGGAAGATTGTTTGAATAACATTACTTCAGCAATGGAACTAGACAAGTCATGAGAGGAGTGTGCGGCTTCGAAAGATTCAAAAAATGATGCTTCTTCAGGATTCTCAGTTGCACTGACATGCACCTGGACAATGATAGCAAGATAATTAATCTTAGCACAAAAATCAAGGACATTATCAATAATATCATATAAACACGAACCCTAGTTTTTGAAGAACCAGCCAGAGTCTGCATATATGCACCATCACCAACTGTGGCAAAGAAAAGACAACCAACTTCGTTACCAGAATGTTCCTGATTGCTGCCAATGGATGCTAGTGGAAGATTTGGACAAGCCAAGACTCCCAATACAACTTTCCCTTCATGCAACAAAGCTAATGCTATAGCATATTGGTCTCCTCTAAGAAACCTACAATGCCATCATACAAGCATGCGCCACTTGGTGGTCATGAACACGATATAGAACAGCAAACAAACAGATAAAATTAAAGGATCTAAACTTGCCAACCACAAAATGAAACTAATCGAGAAAGGGAGCTATTTTATAAATTGTTTAATTTACTTAAATATGTAAAAGAAATTAATGAAAGTGCAGTACTTTTTTTCATCAAAGTATAGTGATTCCGTTAAAGATTAAAAGGCCTCCTTTTAAAAAATAATACAGTACTCTTTTTAGCAGACCAAAGTGTTGTAAGCAATCTCCATTGTTAATTTCATAATGCCTCGTAATAGGTAATGTTCCTAACAATTAAGTTCGGCTTCAGAATTATTAGATGGATGAATAAAAGTCATGGCAAGTGAATATGAACATCCATCATCGTTCATGTCTTTCTGGTCTAGGAGAGATTTTAACAACTAATGAAACCTTAGTACATCATCCAGATCAATAGCACTGGAAAAAAGTTGCATGTTTATGATAATACTAAAAGAAGCTTCATTGCATAAGATTCTGACTTGTTAGATAGACGAACTTAAAAAAGACATTTCAAAGAAAGTATTCCCTCAATTTAGTTTTGAGGATGCTTACCCTTTAGTTCCATCTATGGGGTCCAAAACCCAATGCCAACCACTAGAACCTCCTTCAGACCTACCACTGTCAATGGCTCTAATAACATCTTCTGCGGTTAAAGTAGAAAAACCATCTAATACTTCAGTAGCTAGAGTGTCATTTACAAGTTCTGTAATGCGCTTTAATGTTTCTTGACCACTCTCTTCAAGAAGATCCCCTGAATCCTAGAATTTTAAAACTGAACTTTACATTCAAGCATAGAAAAACAAGATTCTGCATGTTAAGTAGAGTTTTCAAATCCACCTCCTCAGCTACTAACGAAAATGGTTCAGAAGGAAGTTCTCTCTCAAGTATAAAGCTGACCAAAGCTTGTGAACCTGGAAGCCATGTATAATCAACATCAAGTAATATAAAATAAATTTGTAGTTTGCTAAACATAAATTAATGAAAGAGTGTAAAGCTAGCAAACCATCAAAATTGTGAAAAGCTATGAAAGTTGTATGCAGCTTTTTCTTTACAAGCTACACTACATGGATAATGAAGCACATGCCCACCAAGCACATGATTATTCAACACAAAGTATGTGACCAAATGAGAAATCCACTGATTTCAATACAAAGGGACTGGTTTGTTACGATAGAGAAAAATATTCCAAGAACTCAGTTGTTCAACAAAACATAATTTATCTATATCCTTTAACTTTTTATATTTATACAACAGTCATGATATTAGAAGAATCATCAATGATGATGATATGTTGCAATTGAAACATGAAATGATGGAAGAAAGCACACAAACCAGTAGAGACCCATAAGAAAATAACAGAAACTTTATGATTTGCACAAGGAAACATCAGTTCAAATAGATGGCTTGTCAACGTCTTTATCTTGCAAGCCTGACTGCTTTAAATTAGACACACGGTTTATGCATTGTAGATCCTCCAACAACAGATGTGTGCTCCGAACAGAAACACCATCAACCAATAGAGGGTGCTGCTAATAATAATCGGGATACTAGATCTAACAACAAGATGCAAATATTTTTTTTTTTAATATAATGAATTTGCAGCCTGTAGATAAAGCTACAAAATTATAGGATTGATATGATACCTTATGCTCAAGAAAGAAAGAATAAATCAAAGCTACATGATTTTCTTGGAATTAGTGGCCTTCCCTGTAATGGGTATCAAGCAAGTACTAAAAATATGTATCAACTACCCACAAGGAGTGAATCAAGTGGTAAGTTTGAGCTCAGCAGTTGAGGAGCCTCTACAATGTCAAGTGTTTGAGCTCAATACCCAAGATTAGTACAAGGCGTGGGAGTACTCATGAGAAACCAAAAAGAAAACATATTAATCCCCATGTGCACAAACAAGTTTTAATTACAGACCTTATACATGAGAAAATATTGTTAGACTAGATGTTATCCCCAAAATGACAAATTTTTAATTCACAATCAACACAATTTATATACAGAAGGTGAAGGTCCAATGCATTGTACTATGAGAAGTGAGAAACAAGGTCTTCCAATTGTAAAATAATAATTAATTCTTATCATAGGCTTGGAATCACAGTTACATTATTGGTTTTTCTGACCTGTTCTGTAATACATCACAAACAGGACAATAGACAATGTACCGTATGATACGGATATTCTTGATCATTTTTTTATTCAAAATATTAGATGTGGCAAGTGATTAGAAAAGCAACTAGAGAATGCACACCACTGCTTACTGCGAAGCTTCAATTTGTCAATCCCCACAGTATAAGCATCAGTATTAGCCAGTAGAAAGGAAAACACTGTACCTACTTGTTACTATTTTTACTAGGTTGATAGATTTGTGTAAGAAACAACAGTGGGTATACTGTACAGACCGACTATAAGAAATGTTACATGAATAGTGTGACTTGTTGGAATTTTTATATTATATATAAACAAATATATAGATTCAATCAGCCACATAAATTATTCCAAGGAAAAAAAAAATTCATTTCAAAATCACCATAACGCATATACTAAAGCAGCATTCCCTGATAAGTAATTCAACTAACCATAATCAGCTACGGTAACAGGACTCTTGTCTGATTTTGAATGGACATCAGATTGCAGCAGAGCCTTTTGCACTTTCTGGACAAAACCACCGAAGGTATCTTAACCGGAAGAGAAATAGAAAGAGAAGAAAGAAAGGATACAGAGACAGAAGAGAGTTTTAAAGCAATCTCATTATGAGTTCAGATTGTTTTACCAGCGGTCTCCCATCCATATATATGTTATTGGTTTGTCTCACCACCCTTAACTTATCCGTTCACTAACTAGCAGATATTTAGAATCTTATCAAGTGGAATCAGTATCCATTAGTATTCCATCGCCACTTACCCATTTAATCTAAGAATTCAACTTGGATGCTTACATATAAATTAAGCAATATTCAGCGAAAATGATTTCAGATTCTCAATTAAGTTCAAAATTACAACTAAATAACCCAATGAGCTCTCAAGTACCGATCCCCAGTTGTAATTCGAATAAAGAACCCAAATTACGAATGAGGAAGAGGGTGGGATAATGCCTGGCAGAGACGAGCAGCGAGAGTGGCTGCTTTCTTTGCAGCAGCGAGCTCCTTCTCGTAAGTCATCGAAGATGCAATAACCCCTTGTGAAGAAGATGAAGAACTGAATCTTACTGCCAAACAAGAGAAATTAACAGGTTTTTTGAATTTGGATCCGCCAATACAATAACGAGTTCTAAAGTCGACCACTCTCAAACTACACAAGGCCATTTTCTTAAATTTAATCCGATAATAATAATAGTAATAGTAATAGTAATAATAATTGCATGCCTTCTTTAAAATTATTTGCTGCTCTGGACGTTCAATCGGTCTTTTCCTTTCGATCCTGCTTGCTTCTTATCTACTTCAATAAATGACAATAAAGGACCAAAGTCTTTTATCTTGTTTCTTTGGATCCCTATTAACATTTTCAACTACTTCCACAAAAATTTGGAAGACAATTAATTCATTAAATATCTACTTCAATAAATGAAAATTAACTATCAAAGTCTTTTCTCATTATTTTTTTAATCCCTCTTACAAAGCATTTTCAACTACATTGCTTATCTTTAAATCCTTATTTGTTTCATTTGATTTTAAATGTTTTGGCTTAGCATATTAAAAAAAAACTCTAAATGCATGCTTTTCATAAATGATATAGTTCTTAATGTGAAGATAAAAGAAAAAATTAATTATAAACTTAAGCTATGTAAGAGAACATTGGAATAAAAAAGTTTCTATCTGAATAGGAGTAAAATGGAATATTTACATTGTAATTTTGCTGAGAGGTCAATCAGTAGTAATTTAGAATTAAAATTGAAAGATCAAATTATATCTCAAGTAAAAAAGTTTAAATACTTAGTAGCTATTATTCAACATAATAGAGAAATTGATGAGAAAATTGCACATAGGATACAAGCAGAATGATTTAACTAGAAAAAGAATAAAAGAGTTATTTGCAATTGTAAATTACTTAATAAACTTATTAAGGAAGTTTTATTGAACTATTTGAAGATCAGCTATATAAAATGGTTGTGAATGACTTTAACGGGACAACAAGAATATAAAGTTAAAATAAGAGGAATGAGAATATTGAGATAGATTTGCGGGCATAGCACTTATTGAGGAGGAAATGATAGAAAATCATTTGAAATGGTTTGAACATATATATAAAGAAGACTGAGGGAGGCATCGGTGAAAAAAGCGAAGCAGATAATTTTGAACCATGTTAAGAGGGATGCAGAAAGGTCAAAGAAAACACTTATGAAAATTATTGATTAAAACATTTTAGTTAACAATATTTCTAAAAGCTTGATAAATAATAGAGTACAATGATTGTATCTTACAATTCATATAGCTGATTCTACCTAGTGAAATAAAACTTGTTGCATAAAGCATTTTCACTATTCCAATAGAGACATGAATGATAATTAATTCATTAAATATGTCTTAAAATAAGTAAAATGTTCATGCAATCAATTGGAAACATTTAGTTGCTAACATAAATTTAAAGCTTAATTAGTCATAAATATTAATACGAGGTCCCATTTTCAATTTTTTATATATTTTTTTGGTAAAAAATTTTAATTGAGTTGATTTTCAAATTTTTATATTAGTCTTTTTAAAATCTACAAGTTTAGATGAAAATCATGATGAACGATATGGTTATAAATATTAATTGGAAGCTTAATTATTTACAACTGTTTTTCGACCAAAAAAAAATATATTTACAACTGAACTTTTTTGGCCATTGAACTTTTGGTTTCTAGTTTATACTACAATGTTTTTAACGTACAAGGTATGTTTTGATCCATAATTTTTAAACAAAATTAATAAAAGACCCGGGTCCTAATTGCTATTTCTTAGATTGTGGATTCTTTGATGTCGTTATTTTACTGTTAAGGTAATTCCTTGTCTTTTAAGCTCGTTATAGCATTATGATGTGATAAGTATATTTTTCTCATGTTCATCATGCTCATACCTATCCCTACCAATATATAATAAAAAAACATTCATTTCAACGTAAAAATAAGTTGAATGACTAGTTGTAATGAGGTGTTTGGCAAGCAATTATGGACTATTTGCCCATAATATAAAGGACATTATTGAGTTTTTATTATAAAAATAGAAAAACCTTGTCTCTTTGTGTATGATATATATAATAATCGTGGAAGAAGACACATCGGGGGCAAGGCAGGTATACCTACCCAACCTGTCTCCCTTGTTCATGTTCATCTTCCCAACAAGGCACAAGCAAATCAAAATCCTTCAACCCTTTTTCAAATTTCACGTATATGAAGATATGATGATGGTGATGGCGACAATGATGAAAAAGAAATTAGTTATTTTATGACAAAAACTTTTAAATTGCGGTTGGCAACGGCAATTGCTTCACAATTTGTGTTTTGAGGTAACTGGAATTAGAATTAGAATTGGGATGGCAACCGCAATTTAAAGGACAAGGCTGGAAATTTGTGTCAGAGAATTTCGAGAAATTAAGGTAAGAAGAAGAAGAAGAATGGACATGAACAATATGAATGGAACAATGATATCAGGAGAAAATGCATCGGATGACGCAATAGTTTGCTATCGACCATCAATGATCACACCGTTTAGTGTCTGGAGAGGAGACAACCCTTTGAACTACACCCTCCCTCTCTTTGTCGTCCAATTAATTCTTCTCATCGCTGCCACTCGTCTCTTCGTCCTCATTCTCAAACCATTTCGCCAACCTCGTGTTGTTGCTGAAATCTTGGTATGTATGTTTCATTTTCATCATTTATTTTTAAAATATATATACATATGGTTGTTTTTAGTGACAGCACTACCTCTCATGCTTGAAAGAAGCCATAATTTAAACCTAACATTACATTAACATGTTTGCCATTAATTTCAAAAGATATTGTTGTGCAATCCATATAGCTTACTCCATCTAATGGGATAAGATATTTTTGTCTTAAACATAGATGATCCGTTAGTGATTGTGAATATTAACTTGATGTGGGTTTTTATGTGGACATGTGTGTGTGTGTGTGTGTATTTTCTTTTTGCAGGGTAGATTGTTGTTAGGTCCGTCTTTTCTTGGTCAAAATGATTCATTTGGAAGATTGATATTCCCTCTAAGCAGTGTGTTGATACTAGAAACAATGGCAAACATAGGCCTGATTTACCTCCTCTTCTTAGTTGGCTTAGAAATGGATATTTCAGCCATAAAACGCACTGGAAAAAAGGCCATATTCATAGCTATGGTTGGCATGGTCTTGCCCTTCATTGTAGGGGCTAGTTTCTCCTTCTTTAGCAACCATACTGCAGCTACGAGCCATGGAGCCAACATTCTCTTCCTCGGTGTTGCCCTCTCTGCCACGGCTTTCCCTGTGCTCGCCTGTATCCTCGCGGACTTCAAACTTCTCAACACTGATCTAGGTCGGCTAGCCCTCTCAACTGCCTTAATAAACGATGTTTGTGCTTGGATTCTCCTTGTTCTTGCCATTGCCCTAGCTGGATCCACCACCAAAGCAGCTAGTAACCCATGGACTTGCTAATGTGTGATTCTTTCAAGCTTAGCTTATGTTGCTGTATGTTTCTACATTGTCAAACCAGCAATGTCATGGTTCTTGAGTGGAACCCTAGATGTAGAATCCTTCAGTGACTTTCAAATATGTGTGATAGTGACTGGTGTTATGGTGTCAAGCTTCATCACAGATGCTATAGGGACGCATGCCATTTTAGGAGCTTATCTCTATGGTTTAGCAATTCCAAAAGGACCTATTGGAGTCGCCATTACAGAGAAGCTTGAGGACTCTGTGTCAGGGATTCTTTTGCCTCTGTATTTTGCCATTAGTGGGCTTAAGACTGATATCACAGCAATCCATGGAATCACAAAATGGGTAGGCTTAATGGTTATTCCTCTTGCTTGTGCTGGTGGTAAAGTCTTGGGTACTATTTTTGTTTCTCCCTTCTTCAATATTCCAGCTCGTGACGGTGTCATTCTTGGCTCACTCATGAACAGTAAAGGGCTTATTGAAATCACGGGGCTTAATATCGCTAAGGACCTAAATGTACACGCTCAAAACTCAGAGCCATGATATTGAAATTGGGGAAAATATAACTATTGCTGCTATACTTTCACTGTGTTTGGGTACTACTTCCTTTTTTTCTTAAAGCCAAAAAAGTAAGTTTATCTTTTTACAACGGTATTCTTTATATTTTTAAATAGAACTAAAGAATTAAAGAGACACATGATATTTTAAATTTTTATTTAAAATATTATCACTTCAAAATTTAAAAAAGGGTGCAATTTTTTTTATTATTAATTTATATTTAACCATTAAAATGAAGCTTGACTCGAGGAAGGACACATGTCATCTTCTGTCTCATCTTTCTTCTTCCTCCATCCTCCCCCATCATCACTTTTCTCTCTTTTCACCCAAATTTTCTACAACTAATCTTTTATCAGCAACAAGTTATGAAGCATCCAACAAAACTCTTGAAAGAAAATGACCTAGAAAAAAATTATTGGTCAAATAAAAAATGAAATTCCCACAACAAAAATCTCTCTCATTCAAAACCACAATCCAATCATGGAAGACGCCTTCGATCCAGCTCAAATCTCGCTTTTTCCCCTCCTGCTTTTCGACACTGACGATTCCATGGTCTAGGTCGCTGATGAACAAGTGGCCAAATTCTGCACATGGGAACCCTACAAAAGCAAAGACACCGCTGTTGATTTCATCCAGAACTTCTCCACGAAGTGCTTATTGTTTTGAGCAATTTGCGTCGACGATTCCACGTCGAGTTGGTTTCTGTTCGATTCTACTCAGGGGACGAGAAGGCTAGAGTAAAATCTGCTGAGCTTAGCTATGTTTGGGGTTGAAGTATTTGGATTGCAACGAAGATGGTGAAGCAAGTGGTGGAAATGGCATTCGTTGAGTTGCCGTATTTAGAGAGGCTTGAAGCTCTGGTTGATGTTAAGAATGTGGCGTCTCAGAGAGTTTTGGAGAAGGCTAGGTTTCAGAGAGTTGGATAAACTATCTCTACTTCTCCATCAAGAACGGCAACTTATTTATGTGCTTGACATGTGTTGCATTTGCAATTTGCTTGTAAGAACTCATGTATTGACCGAGATGAAACTCAGGTTGCATAACTTGGGCTAGATTATTATGACTAAACTCGTTGTCCTTGTGTGATACTTAGATGAAATAATGACTAGCAAATAATAGTCATTGCAAATGAATCTTTAGACCTCCCACTTT